AGCAATTTTCGTACGATTTCGGAATGTTGATTAAACCGTAACTAGACCAAGAAGTACCTTTTTCATATTTTATCAATGTTATTTGCAAAAGCTTTCCGTTCATTGAAATGCTACTCTCGTTTGTCTTCATTGGATACGTCAAAACATCCGCTGCGCAAATAAGCTCACCTCATGGCAATAAGCGCATCTTTTTGACAACATCGCCAGTTTACTCGCCTAACTCAAAAGTTGCACTGTCAGTTTAAGCGCTGGCATTGCATACTGCTGCTATCCGTTACAATTTCGACGTGAGATATTGTGATTGTGATGGAATGTGATCCACAAACAAATCGCACAAAAGGGATGAGAATAGAACATAGTATACCAGAAATGTGAATGAGTGATTGCAATGCTACGCAAATGACCTGTTTTGAAAAGGAGATGGGTGGCGGTTCAAAATGGTTTCACACTGTCGCAGATAAAGATGTGTCATCTCGACTGATAATAATTCATGACAAAATAAGTAAGATTTCCAATCTTGATAAAGTGATATATTTCACAAACAGTCGGTCAAATTGTCGAGAGATGAGAACAAATTATGTGATTGATTATGACAATAAAAATCGCTCAATCAATCATTCAAGTTAATTTTCACGAGCCATTAATCAAGTTTCCCTCTGATACGTCGTACGGTGAGCGTTAGTTATTCAGTGGTAGCATCAACACTGGTTCCGAATATTCATCTTGAAACTTAATCATTGGAATGTGTCATTTCCAGTTGTGAAATTCATCACATCGTAAACTTAAACTTTCCTTTTGGATACATACTATCTGTCACTTCAGTGGCTATTGTTTCAATTTATGCATTTCATTTCATTGAAAGTGATTAATCGTTCAACCCAAATGCATGCACAAAACAAGAAGTTTGAAGTTTCTTTTCGAATCGTACATTTTCTCAGTATGTCATCATCAATCTCCGTTGTAGCCTTTTTTCACTGGTTCATTCATGTATGAGTTCATTCAAGTAGCATCTTAACAATTCGAACACGGTGTATCTGGGTGAGGTCTGATAGGTATGGAGCACTGTGAAACCCCGGGTGAAATTAGTTGGTGAGACGGGTAAGAGATTTGTGGCTTGTGAAAAGTCGTTTCAAAAGGTGTTAGCCAATCAAGCATCGAATATGGTATGATAATAGTGTGTGTCTTTATCATTTCCCGACTATCGTTAGCGAGCCGCGAAACTATCGATTATGCTGATCATTTAGTCTCGATGAGATCAGCGATCAAGACGCGTGGTAAAATCAAGAACTCGAATTAATTACCAGATGAATTTGCCAGGTAACAAATGGGTAAAAAACGTACAAAAGCTCCCACCAACACCCAGGCAGACAGCAACAATGTGAGTAATCAAACATCTTCGTCATCAGAAAAAGCAAACGGTGGAACGAAATTTCGGAATCAATTTTGGTCATCGAATAGCAGTTCGAAGAAAAATACTAACGGTGGTGGCCATATGAACAATAAAGGAACGGAGGAACAGCCACCAAAGCGACCCGAATCATCGGTCAGCCGTCAGTTTCTGCCCAAAAAACAACAAGGAGTTAGTGAGCAGTGGACGAAACAATCACTGGAAAATGTTCGTCTGCAAATATCTCCATTCTGGGATTTTCTCGTTTTCTTATAACTGAC